TAGGCTGGTGTGCTTCTTCCATGTGGGCTTTGTTGCTTCTGAGCTACATGGCCGCTTGATTACCTTCAAGCCTTTAAGACCCCAGACGCTATAGTGTTACAGGTAATTTTACAGCAACAGCCAAACAAACACCTCATGGAATTAGTTTACTTGGCTTGATGGTTTAAGGTCATGGTTTTATGGAACAGTCAAGTCAGCTGGCCTAATACTGTTCTTACAAGTTTCTGTTTTATCTCCTAACTTGGTGAGTAGTCTCTGGGGTCTCGAAGTTTCAGAGCGGCCATACAAGACACATCACGTGGTCTATTCACCTGGTGCAGCAGAGAAAGGAGCACCAGGTATCAGAAAAGGACCTGGAATGCAGATCAGATTGCCTCACATGAAACCAGAAAAACTGCATGGTGCCATGCTACAAGACTCAATGTTTTGATCAAGGAAGGGCTTACTGCATGGATCAAAAAAGGAACAATGTAAAATAGAATTTCAAATTCTTAGGGAATCTAATCCATTGAGAATGAAAGAACCCCTGAATCCACGGCCCAGAAATAAAGAACACTGTACTCTTTTAAGAGATTTGTATGACATCAAACTGACAGGACAGTAACTCTACAGTACAAAGGTCAGGGGACAGTGCATCTAATCTAAAGGGGGTGAGACAATTCAGGCAGATAAGCCAAAAAATACAATGTGAAGAATGTAGCTAATGTCACTGAAGTGTACATGTAGAAATTGTTAAATGGACATTATGCTTTTGCTTTGCGTATTTTTTTTTGCAAGAATAAAAAAGTTTTTTTAAAGCATAAGAGAGGGATGTTGTCATATTCTAAATAACCCAGACAACTGGTCAATGTTTTCATATAAATCGCCCACTGTTTCTCCAAAAATTAATAGGAGTCATCAGCATCCAATAAAATATACTTCAGACGTGAAAGAACTAATTACAGTATTTTCAAAAATTGTAAATGGAACTTTATATATACTAATTCGGTATTGATATTATCACTTGTATCTTTTAGTTTCTGTAGGAAACTTGCTGCCACAAGGAGAAATGTACCTCACACTTATCACTAATTTATAAATTATAATGGGTCAGAGATAATTAAATATAACAAGAGAGAGCATCAATAAAACTCTTTTGGCAAAAAATAAAATACAATAAATTAAAAACATTAAAATAAAAACAAAACTCTTTTGGCACTTCTAATAAAATCTTTTCCTTATCTACTTGTAAATTTCAAAAACTGGACCACATAAAACAGCAGGTTTTAAACCTTATGAACAAGAAGCAATACTAGAAATAGAATATTCATTTTTTAAAATTCATTTTAAAATTATCTAGCTATCTTTCTTGTTTAAGACTTGGTACTACATGTCTATTTTCTATTTTCTAATTTTAAAATCAGAAAAATATTAGCTCTTTATTAAGAATGAGCTAAAACTATCATTAATTCAAATTAATAATTAATACTCTGTTGATCAAATGGCATTTTATTGAATTATACTAATTCAACTGTCCATACTCGAAAGGCATGCACAACAAAGTAAAACTCCAGAATGATACTATGATAGATAAATATAGACCTCTGACAACATATCAAGTTTTTAAATCCCACTTAAAGTTATACCCATAAAAGAAAACTTTTATAATCTTAGTGCTCTTCTCTTACACATCCATTTCTCTTCTATATTTTTCAGATTGACATTCCTTTCAATATTACATATATTACATGCACATAATTTGAAAGTTGATCATCATTATGCTAAAATAAGGTGAAAAACACTACTAGAAGAGAGAAAATTATTAAATCAAAATAGTACATGGAAATCTCTCTATAATAATTAAGTTAACAAAGAATATCAAAGCTGAGTAAATACCAAATTTACCTTTTCTGTATTGTAATATAAAGATTTCAAAGTGGTAAATAAAGGTGGGCAGCCTTTGCTGAAGTTAACCCTCAGGAACTTATCCATTAGTTCTCTAAATTTTTCACCTAGAAACAAAAGTGTACTTTGTTATACTTTGATCAGTAACAGAGTTTTAAAATGATTTTATAAATATAAATGCCACTCCCTCAGAAACAATTACCACCCCTAAGCAAATAGTTGTCAGCATCCTTTCTTGTTTGTTATCGCCAAAAAGCACACCACCAAATATTTCAGTTCTAGGTTCAAATTATTCTTAAGAAAAACTTCAAAAGATATGTAAAATTAATCATAGCAAGTATGTTTCATAATCTCTATCAGAGTCAGTTTCTACAACTGAAAACTCAAAGAAAGACTCTGCAAACTACAAAAAGAATATACCGTAACCAGCACTATATTCAAGCCCTACAGTGGTGAAGGCATGGGTGCTACAGCAAAGTGTCATAAAGAAACTAGATGGTGCCTGGCTATCAGAAAGAATAGCATCTGGGTTCTTAAAGACTTATTTGCAAACAAGCAGCCATCTAAGGGAGGCATCAACTAAGTCCATATGGAAGAAGCACACCAGCCTGTGTTATATAATTATTGGGTTATATAAATTATATATCCCAAATCGGAAGTAGGGAATGGTTTCAGGGCTTAAATTGTAAGGGCTTAAACACCTGGTTTGCAGAAGGCTATGGATAATAGTGGAAACCCAAAATCCATTTGTAGGGTCCACACATGGATTAAGCCTCCAGTGAAGCCCCACTAGTCCTAGTTTAAGGATATGAATAGCCCTGTTACCACACAGAGAGCATTGTGTACAGATTATGGCAGATGTAATTAAAATATAATATCTTATCATTTGATCTCCTTTTTGACCCATTTAAAAGTTGTCTCACTTAAAAAATAAAGTGAAGGAGGAAAAAAAGTGAAGCCCCTGGTGAATCCCCCCTGTCCATGGACCAGGGATGTGAACAGCCTTGCTATCATGAAGAATGCATTGGAAAGTGGATTGTTGTAGATGCAGTTTGATTAAAATTTAGCAGCCTATCATTTGCTCTCCCTTGGGATCGATTTACATTTGCTCTGGTATTAAATTATTTTCGGCATTTTTTCCACTGTAGTTTTTTTCTGTTTTACTTAGTTATTCTTGTTAGTTTTGGTGGGTTGTTTTTTTTTAAGTTTTTGTTTTAATGTGTTTCTGTATATGAAATCCAGAATAGGTAAATCTACAGAGACAGTAACTGGATTAATGGTTCACTGGGGGAATGGCAGGGGAGGTTGGGAAGAAGTGGAGAGCTAATAATGATGGGTACAAGAATGAAGAAAATGTTGTAAAACTGATTGCACAACTCCTCCAGATATAAATGAACCACTGAATTGTATGGTATGTGAAGATTATGCCAATAAAACTTTTGAAAACAACAAAAATCCTTACACTGGTATTTACAAATGTTTTTCAAACCAAGGAATTATTTACTGACATTCATCCATCCCACAATCCTGTATTACTCACATGCTCTCTGCCATTCCATCCATTCTGACTCAGATGGCACTATGGGGCAGAGCAGAATGGGCCCTGTGGATTTTCAAGACCCTAACTCTTTAGAGGAGGAGAAAGTCGCATCCTTCTGCCAAGAGGCGGCTGGTAGCTCCAAACTGACCTTGCAGTGAGCAGTTTTGCATTACCCATTAAGCCATCACCCATCCTTAACTTCCATCAGGCCAACCTGACTCCTAGCAACCCTATAGAATAGGGTAAAACTGGTCTGGTAGGTTTCCCAGACTAAATACTTACTGGAGCAGAAAGCCTCATTTTCAACGACTATTGCCAGTCAGCCATTGTTCTAGGTACTGGAGATGTAGTAGTAATTAAAACAGGGTTTTGTTTGTTTTTCAAATCCTGTCCCCATATAATTTTACATTCTAGTTGGTGAGAAAGAAGTAAGTGAAATAATGTAAAATATACCTTAGACTGAGCCCAGGGAAGCCTAACATTAGAATTAAAAAAAAAAAAGAAATACCCTATTTGCCACATCAAATAATTCTATCATTGCTAGAGCTGTTTATTTGATGTGGCAATTTATTTGATCTTACCTTTATCAAAATTTTTATTTAGCTTATCAGAAATTTGGTGACCATTTCTGAGAATAGGAAAAAAAATTAATACAAAGGTTCTTTCAAGAGTCAGGTATATAAGCTTTTTTATAACAACAGGTTAATATATAAGAAATAGGTAAGAACATGGTTTTACCAACTCACTAAAAAAAGAGGCACATATGTCATGAATGGTTTCTCCTAAAAGAATGGCTGTTTAAAGGAAGTCAAGGGTTCTTCAGCCTCTGTGGGGTTTTGATACTGCAAATCAGCGGTTCTCAACCTTCCTAATGCCGCAACCTTTTAATACAGTTCCTCATGTTGAGGTGACCCCCTAACCATAACATTATTTTCATTGCTACTTCATAACTCTAATTTTGCTACTGTTCTGAATCAGGCAACCCCTGTGAAAGGGTCGTTTGAGCCCCAAAGGGGTTGTGACCCTCAGGTTGAGAACCACTGCTATAAATCTTTATAGAAGAGCCCTGGTGGCCAAGGGGTCAGATGTTGGGCTACTAACCTCAATTTCAACAGTTCCAAACTACTAGCCACTCCCCAAAAGAAAAATGTAGCTTTATACTCCCATAAAGATTTAGTATCAGAAGCCCCCGGGGCAGCTCTACTCTGTGCTCTGCAGTCACTGTAAGGTTTTTGGAGGAAGTCTGGTGCCCTGGGCTTGTACAAATAACTGCAATTCCAGTGTTTTTCAATATCATGGGAGCACCAGAGGGCAAACTGCAGACCTTAAATGGAACACTGCATCAATAGGCACTGTGATTTTTAAAAGTATAACCAAATCAGTAATCTATAAACAATTTTAAAGGTGATTTCAAAACCAACCCCGTAGGACTTCATTATTCATCATTCAGAGCTGTTATTGTTGTTATAGGCTGTTGAGGAGTATCTGACTGGCGGTCCTCCGATGTCGCGCAGAATAGAACACTGCCTGGTACAGCACAAAGAAAAAGAGCTGCACCCAAAAAACCACAGCAACCCTAAGTGGTTATTTTTATTTGTGACTAACCATGTTGAACAAAAATAAGCATACTCATACAATTAGATGTCATAAAATTTTCAGATGGAAATTTAAACTTTGAGGGGGAAAAGATACCAAATATTTTAAAAGGCACAACATTCATGTACTCCCCGTTTTCAATAATCTCTACTCTTTCATTAGCTCATATATAAGCCTAGATCTTTTGAAAGTCACTGCCCAGACAACACAAAACTTCATTCTGGGATAGATACACAGCCTTTCTTCCTTTAAAATCAAGAGCAGTTTCAGAGATGAAGGTTTTCCATACTTTCTCTGGTTTAAGCAGAAGTGAACAATACTGGACTAGACATAAGACGCTGCTGCTTAAAGCATCTTGGTGTGCAGCTGGGGACAAATGACTTGTTCACTCAAAACCCCAGGTCTGCCACTATCAAGTGAGGGAGCAGTAACAGCCCGCCCGCCAAGACAAGGCTTGCTAGCATGGCTTCAGCATAGCACCACGCACAGCCTCTGGCTTAACCACTCAGCAGGGTTGGTTATCATGATCTGCCCCGAGATCTGCCAAATGCTGCTTTTCTACAGTTAAAATTCCATTTTCCATACTTAGAAAACAAAAAATTTCTATTTACAATGGTTTTTTTTCCCTTTTTTAAATTTGTGGGGAAATGTAACTAAAAGATAATGGGATTTTTTCATGAATATTTTGAAAGCCCTTCAGATTTCAGAAGTTACTCTGATCTCCCCTTCTTAGTCCACTTCCTCGGTCTACTTACACCTTACTGACAGATTCCACTTAAAAGACAATACACTAATTCTCAATTATTCATAATATTGAAAAAGCTTCTTCTCTCTTACATGCTACTGTGACTGTGCAGCTATGAGAAAGAATATGGAAGCTCTTTGTGTGCTGAGACAAGACTCATTTCCAAAAGAGCAAGTGAAAAGCAAAGCAAAGCTAGGTAAAGTGCAACATATGCTGCTACTTCGTTTAGGGGAAAACAAATAAGGGGAAAGCTACACAGACGTCCCCCCAACACACACCTCTATCTGTGCATGCACAGTGTATTTCTGGAAGAATACAAAATCAACTGGTCATGACAGCTGTCTCCACAAGAGGGGCCTTGGTGGCCAGCGGCAGCGAGGAGAGGAAATTTTCAGTTATAAGCCCTTATAATTGTATGAAGGAGTCTACTACCTAAGTAAAAAGCCCATGCACAGCTACTCAACAGTTTAGTCACCCACAATATCCCACAATTACTATTTCTTTGTAATTTATTTCATAATATTTTTCTCTAATATAAGTAAAGCTTTTTCAGGAAAATAATTATCACCCTCTTTCCTGGCTATTTTTAAAAGAATGTTTCAGTATCCCATGTGAAAGATAAACCATTGTTCATTAAGTACTTGTTTAACATTCTATCTCACAAAATACGTTATCTGACTTCATAGATGCTATGCTGTGTGAGATTCATGAAGTTGCCCCACATCCCCTCCTAGAAGGGTCACAAGGAAGGGATGAGTCAACCAGGTTGAAGTATAGCACTGATGAAACACAAATATTCCTCTGGTTCCTTGAGGCTTCCTCGCCCCTCACTATCATGACCCCAATCCTGCCTTTCACTGTGGGCTAGGTCTGACACGTTGAATCCAAGTCATATAAACCCCTCAGGAACAGAAATGAAGTAGCAATTCCAGGAGGGTAGAGGGAAAGTGGGGAGAAGACCATAGGGGAAGGGAGACAGCGGTCAGTGTAAGATGTGAAATTAATAATACTTATAATTTATCAAGTGGTCATGAGGGTGGGAGGTGGGGAGGGAGAGTAAAATGAGGAGTTGATACCAAGGGCTCAAACAGAATGTAAATGTTTAGAAAATAATGATGGCAACATATGTACAAACATGCTTGATATAATTGATGTGTCATAAGGGCCCCCAATAAAATGATCTTAAAAAAACCCAAAAAAACAAAACCCGTTGTCCCAATAACCACTGCTAAAAGAATCCATATGAACAACAACCCAGTTGGTTTCTGGTTCAATCAAATGATGATAACACTGATGAAATGTAAAGTTTGGTTAGTTGTATTCTCTTGTTAGCATTGTTACGGTTCGTATTCTCACTCTAAGGAGCCCTGGTGGCACAGGAATTAAGCACCCAGCTGCTAACTAAAGAGTTGGTGGTTTGAATGCACAAGCGCCAAACGCGACGTTTTCATAACATTGAATTGAAACGTGTCTGGTACCAAAATTATAAAGCTTTTGGAGCTGACCAATGTCCACGAAATCTTCGTACTTTACTAGTACAAATATAAACTGCTAGTTACGCATTTTAGCGGCAAAATGCTTCCGTAGTGGCACACGTTTAGACCGATTGTGCATTTGAGGTTAAGTGGTCATTAGCGTTCAGTGCATTTTACGATCATTTTCAATCTAGTGAAGTTTTAGTGTTGATATTTTTGTATATGTTCATAAAACTGTAGTTTTTATGTAATACTCATAAAAATTACATGTATTATGTATATCCGCTTTTACAAAACATAATGAATTCGTTACATTCGTCTTTTGAATCAACGGTGACAAAAATTACCACAGCATGGATTGTGATTTGTTTTATAGAAAACGGCAAATTTATGACCTACATGGAAGTGGTACAGACTCAGACAAGGAAACAGATGCTAATATGGATGAAATTGGTAAATAAAATGGGTAGTATACTTAAAATTTTTGATTTTACAATATAAAACTTTAGTTATATTGCTATTCAAGTTATTTTGATAACAATATTTATTTTTTCCCATGATAAGAAGTGAATATACGCCCGATTATTCTGATTTGGATGAATTAGAAGACCTCGTAGTTAGTAATGATAATACTAGTGAAGATGAGTTAGAAACTTCAGTTGTTGAAGTTGAAGAATCAATTCCAATAAATACAAGTTCAAAGCCATCTACATCAAGAAATCAAAGAATTCCTCTTTGGTGGCACATTTCTGGAGACGGTATAGCTAGACCTATGCCTGAATGGTTAGGACAAATAGATTCTTCTGGGGTAGTAAGACATCCTGTTGAATATTTTAGACATTTTTTCTCGAAGAATATCATTATTCATATTGTCAACCAATCAAATCTTTATGCAATCCCGCAAAATCCCAATAAACTTCTTGCACTGAGTAGCCAGGAACTTGAGCAATTTTGGGGTACACTGCTTGCTATGTCGATGGTGAAGCTCTCCAATCAAGAGTGCACCAGTATTTTTCTGCAGCAAATTCAAAGTTCATCTTTGTATCACAAAAGAAAAAAAATTGTTTTGTTCAATTTCACACTAACTAAAATTATAAACAAATAAATTTTGTATTATATTTTATAAATAAAATGAGTTTTCAGTTTGTTTTTTTATTTAATAATAAAATAAGATGAAAAATAATATAGAAATGAAGGTGAATTTTTTATTCTTGTATTATAAATCCATGGACGAATGTGACAATTTGGTCACATTTAAAAACATTGCAAATTTTATATTTCTTAAATATATTTCGGTTGTTGATAACTATGAAAGTAAGGAATAAAAACAAAAAAAATTTTTTTTCCTGAAATCAAAAATTCAGGCATTATAGGGCTAAGCAGTCTGCTTCTGTCAACACTCATGGTGTTGGAAACCCAGGGATTGTTCTCCTCTGTCCTACAGTCACTGTGACTTGGAATCAACTCAGGCGCAATGGGAGTGGACATTTTTACACTGGATTACCTCCTTCTCTCCCACCAACCCTCAGTCAACAAAGACTAAAAGAATATCATAAATTAAATTAGGTATTTTGAAAAGTCATTTTATCCTGACGTTACATTCACAGAACTAAATGTTTTAACGTGTTGGGAGTTTGCCCAGGGCTTGTGCTATAGCCACTGCTCTGTAGGTCTCCAGCCTTGTGATCCATGAAATAAAGCCTTAAAAAGGAAAACTTGTACTGCACTTATACTCTCAAATTCCACCATAGTTCTAGCTTCTGATAAGGCTGAGATACCTTTCCTATCACACATAAACATCTGAAGGGGGTTTGAAAAGTTCATGGAAAAATCCCTTTACCCTTTCACTGTATTTCCCACACACTCTCTGAAATCACTAAGCTCCTAGGGCTCCTTCGTATTGCTAGATAGACAAAAACTTCTTCATGAAGTATTCAAATTTTTCAGACACAATAAGTTTTTGCACAATTTATAAAAGCTTTGTAAATACACGTTCTTTGAGAACTTCCTAGTGATATTAACCTGAACGTGTAGGTTATCAAACTCCTCAACTGAGACCTATCTTATAAAAAGGTCCTTCTAGTATTCTAGTGAGTGTTGACAGAATCCAGGATGGCTCCACTTTAAACTGAATCACACTTTACAGTGAATAGCAGGTCCCCATAAAAATGTATTTCCAACTATGTACTGAGAGCTTTCAGTAAACTTTGTTGACTATACAAGTAAATTTAGGCAATGCAAATTTGATACCCTGTTTCCAAAAAGAAATAAAAATAAAGCCTTGTTTTTATAATCTTCCCTCAGAGACTGGTGATGACTGTATCTCAGGCCCAGAGTATGAGCAGTCAGCACCCACAGGGTGAAATAGGAGGCATGCCAGGAGACTGAGAAGAGGAATCAACCCCAGGGCCACATAGGGCACAGGACCATGTCTATGCAATGCCCCAAACAGGCAAATCCAGATACAGAAAACAGCCCGGTGCCGAGGAAATGAGGAACAACTATTGCAGCAGTTCTCAACTTGTGGGTCGCGACCCTTTCGGGGGTCAAACAACCCTTTCACAGGGGTCACCGGATGCATAACAGTAGCAAAATTAGTTATGAAGTAGCAATGAAAATAAT